CCACTCAAACCTGATGAACATACAGGAAAATATGCTTCAGAGCGTTGGCGTTTGTGCGATCGCATGCTTTCAGCGTGAAGTCACTTTTGTTTTCCTGGAGGACTTGGCCATTTTAAATTACAGTCTTTCCAGTTTCAGTGACGTCTGAGGGGAAGCAGAGGAAAATGAACTACAATCACAAAGTTTGTCTCTAACTGTGCTTCAATCACATCTTTAGTCGTATATTATTTGGATCTCGGTACCTACCGGTTCCCACACTGCCGTCATGAGATGTCACCTTCCTCAGTCCGACTCTGCTGCAGTTCCAGAGAATATTTTCCTGTTGCGTTTCTTGTTTGCCTGCCAGCCCACCTGCCCCTGCCATTCACGCTTTGTGAAACATAATGCCAGTTTACAGCTGTATATGTCATCAGGCTGACAGGGAGCTCAGGCAGATTCTGGACAGAGCAGAGAGCGCATTGGTAGCTTATCCTCCTCCTATGAAAGCAATACTGTGTGTGAAATAGATGCAGAGGAGTGTAACGTCTGTCAATGTGTGTTCGTGGGAATCATTCTGCTCGTTTCAAGGTTCTGTTTGCTCCTAAAAATGATGGATTGGAAATCTGGAGAGCCGTGCAAGAAAATACAAAAACAATCCTCCTGTCTTTGGCCTCCAGTTGTTTGTATCTAATCATGTTTATTTTGGATTGAAGGTTAATCCAGTCAGTATCTGAGATGATCTGTAGATTTGCTGCATAGAAGCATTTCAGCTCCGTGCTGTATCTGCATTAAAGAACCATCGGAGGTTCTGATGTTTCTGTAAACGGAGCGTTTGGCTCTAATCTGTTCTGGAGAAGAGGAAGCTCCGTTGAGCAGGACGTCGGCTGGCCGGAGGACGTCTCGCGTGTTGTTTTCTTAAATCGCTGCTTTGTGCTTTGTGCTCGTCATTGTGTTTGAAGCTGGCAAAGAAGATTCGTCCACATTCAAACCGTGTTCAAGCCGGAAAGGCAGCGACAGAGAGAGCATCTGTGCATGAATAAAACAACAGCTAGTTCCCAGATTCATATGCAGTAACTGTGATTAACTGACCTCCCCGTCCTGTCTGTCAGCGTTATACTGAGATACCAAGTTGACAAGTCAAGTATTAGAAGGCAGGATGGTTTAGATCTATTAGCACCAGGGTGTAAAAGAGAAAGAAAATGACTTTTATTTATTAGACGTTTCTATCTGAATGTTTAAACTGTCATTTACTTCATTAAATATGTCAGATTTCTTTAATATTGCTGCTGTAAACACAGACTGTCTGAATCTTTCCTGAACTGTTTCTGCCTTGTATTGAAAAGATGTCATCAGAACATAAAATCTGAATTCTGACTCACTTTTTTATTGATAAGTTTAAGTGTTAATGCCACAGACTTGTTTGGTTTCCTTTAAAATCAGCAGAAACTAGAATCCAGTGGAGCCTGAAGTCTTCAAATGACACATTTTGTCCTATAAAGCCAAAGATCTTCACTTTATAATAGTATTAAACAGAGAAACAGCAGTAATTCCTTCACATTTAAAAGGCCGTAACCAGGGATTGTTTGGTATTTTTACTGGATAACTGATTTGAGCAAATAATCCTTTACTGCTGCTAATTAATCAGCTGCTCGTTTGCTTCTCTGTGCTCACAGTAACAGTTGCCCTCTTAATAAATCTATTCTGTCTTTAGGGAAAATGGAAACTCGTGCAGTCGTTTGTTGTTTCAAACCTTCCTGGATACGCTAACTGATTTCACAAGATAATAAAAAACTATGACTTAAGTCAGCATCAGAGTGTTTGAAACGCTGGAGAGCCAAAGCTGAGGGTTCCAGTCCAGGCACTAATGTGTTGTTTTGCTTTGGTAACAGCTGGGCTTCTCCCCGATGCTGTGGGGGGCTGATACGAATTAAACCCAGAGAGAGAGAGATGTGGGTTTGTTAGTGTGCAGTAATTGACCACATGGTGTCCAGTAGGCTCGGTGTTGCCGTGTTCTCCAGGACCATCGTCTCATGGGGGCATGGGAGTGGGGGAGAGAGGAAGGAGGGCGGGCGGGGGTGAGGATTTGGAGTAGTCCATTGTTTATCCTGATGGTTTCCAGATGATGGCAGAGGGAGGCAGCCACCTCCTGGGCCTCTCTCACTAGGCTGCAAAGGATCCGGGCCAAGCTTATCTGCTGCAGCCTGAAAATCTGGCTTCGCATCGTTCGGTGCACTCTGGGGCCGATTCAAGTTACACAACATAAGTTACGACTGTGGGATGGGATGTGTTGTAATACACACAATAAATGAATTCAATGTATGTTTGTCTTAAAGCAGAACAGTTTCTCACATGTCACGGCGGGCCGCAGGGCTCTTCCATCACACGTGAAGAATGTGTTTCTGGAGGAAAGTTCTGACTGATTTCTGTTCCTGTGCAACATAAAAACATGTAATTGTGCTCATAAACCTCTAGCTTTTGAATAAGTCCAGATCATTGCACCTTCATGTTTTTGCAGTGCGAGAGGAGCTATAAGGAGTTTGGTCCAGACAGAAACGTCTCAACAACGAGAACACAGACTGAGATTAGATGTGGGATCATGGTCTCCACAGGATGTCCTGATTACCCCCCGACTTCATTTCCTCACAGCGGTGCACCATATCAGGACATTTTTAGTTTTTAGTGTAACGTCCCTACAGGTGTTAGTTAGATGAGCATAAAAACAACCAGTCATGTCCTGCTCAGGATAAACTGTAATAAATGAATCCCGTCTGCCTCAGCAGATTTTTCTTTAGCTCAAACTAGCAAATGCTAGCGTGCTAAGATACTAAAAACTGAGATGAAAAACAGGCGAAACGCTGTAAGTGCTGCACATTAGCATGCTAGCAGTTTGAGCTAGCATTTAGTTAAAAGCATTGCCTAGCGTGGCTGTAGATGGTCTACGTTTTTATCTGTGGGGTTGTTGCACCGGGCTGCAAGGTGGGGCAGTTGGTAGCACTGTTGCCTCGCAGCTAGAAGGTCGCCGGTTGGCGTCCCGGTGAGGACACCCGGGATCTTCCTGCGTGGAGTCTCCATGTTCTCCCCGTGCAGCGTGGGTTCTCTCCGGGTTCTCCGGCTTCCTCCCACAGTCCAGAAACATGCTGAGGTTAATTGGTGATTGTAAATTGTCCGTAGGTGTGAATGTGAGTGTGCTTGGTTGTCTGTCTCTAAGTGTAGCCCTGTGATAGACTGGTTACCTGTCCAGGTGAACCTGCCTTCACCCTGAGTTAGCTGGGATAGGCTCCGCCCCCTAGTGAGGATTGAGCGGTGTATAGATAATGAATGGATGGATTGTTGTACCCCATCTCTCCTCTCTCCACCTCACCCTAACCAGTGGAGGCAGATTGCCGCCCTCACTGGTTCTGCTGGACAGTTCGACCCGTTAAAAGAGAGTTTTTATCCAAGTGCTTGCTCATAACGAATCCCTGTGTTTCTGTAAAGTTAATATTCGTTACATAAATCTGTAATGTCGGGCTTATGTCTGAGTTGGACGGCACTTTGGTTCAACTTCTGTTTTTAATGTTTTATATAAATAATGGTGACTTGAGTTTTTCATTGACTTGATTCCTGGAGTTCCAACTGAAACATGACGAATCAGTTTTAACTTTCACGTGTCATCGTTTTCAGCGTCAATGTGGCTGTTTTGAATAATCAGCAGAAGTGATGATGTGGAGTTTTATCGTGATGCTACCATTAGGCGTCCTGTGTGCAGATGGCCTGATGGTGGGGTTTTTGTGCATTTTTCTGCCGACACTCAAACTTTCCTGCTTCCCACAAGACTGTCCTGTCCGTTCACTGTCAGGTCAAAAGTGTGAGTTTCATTTGTCGGCTGTCAGTGTGACATCTTTGAAGGGACCAGTGGAAACACCGGAGTGTGCCATGCCCTTTGCTGCCCTGTGGGCTCCAGGCCTTAGGTAGAGTTTGTTTTACTTGTTCTGAAGAGTGAAAGCTGTTTCCTCCCTCAGGAAGATGATGATCCGTCTGCTCTCCCCGTAGGCGCTCGAGAAACAAGTCTGCCATCAAAACTGACCTCCCACAGTGCCTCATGGTGGCTAAATGATGCAAACACAGGCCTCAGAAGGCTTCACAGTGGCCCTCGCGCTGCTGGAGCCTCAAACATGTTTTGTTAAACACATGTAGTCCTGGAAATGAATAAAATGATCTGTTAGAAGTTTTCAACCTGACATGTGTTCCCGCTGTGAAATCCAAACAGAGCTGGATGCGAGCTCCTCCGGTGGCGTGGATTCACTCTTAATTTCGACTTGCCCTACTTTTCAGCCGAGGTGCTTCTAATTTAAAGCAGGCTTGTCGAGATGATTTTTTAGTGATGGGTTTAGGTTTTTGTCATGTTACAAAAGTGCAGAGTTCATCTGGGTTTTATTTCCTCCCCGCTAAGATCTCTGCGTCCTGATTGGTGGGCTGGGGCCAGCTGGGAGGGATGACAGAGGGCCTGAGGTATTTGTCCTATAGCAGCGAGGCCTCTCCAATTGGTCCCCCCACAGGCCCGGGCCTCCTTTATGGTCCCCTGGGATCACAGCTGGAGGGAGGGAGTTCATTTCTAATGGGAAAGCTGAGACTCCTTCTTTTCTGTCCAACAAATAAATTACGACTAACAATTCCAATATAGTCGGACCACTTTGGAGCAAAACACTGAAACGTCTCCGTTTGCTTCTGTAGCATCAACACAGTCCTTCTGAAACTAGTTTGTGATGTGAGGCTTGTTGTTTCATCACTGGGAGAGTTAATCAAGCATCAAAGAACGCATCCCATCGCTGGGACGAAGCTGGACTGTGCTGACCACCAACAGGGCTGCTATCACTCCTCCTCCCATCACGCTGACTTGGCCGCCCTCCAAACACACCATATAGGTCTCTCCCAGTTAGGAGGTGGTGACAGGCAAAAGCCAGAATGTTTGCAGAGCTGTTGAGGTTTACACATTTAGACGTGAGGCCAATAACGTGTAAAAATCTGAATTTTCCACCCAGGCTCGGCCCAAAGGCGAAGGCCTGACCCCGTATCAGGGAAAGAAGAGGTGCTTCGGTGAATATAAATGCCCCAAATGCAAAAGGAAGTGGATGAGCGGGAACTCCTGGGCCAACATGGGACAAGAATGTATCAAGTGCCACATCAACGTTTACCCTCACAAGCAGGTAGGAGTCCATCTGGACAGAGACCATCAGGAAGCTGGGCCGGCTCCTCGGGGCCCCCTCAGCTAGCAGGGCGTCCCCCTACGTCTAATTCTGTTCATATGGATCCTGTGGAAGTTTTTAAATGTGCCCCACTGACTGTTTTCAGCAAATTCCTGCAGTCCAAGCCTTGCAGGAAAACCCTGCTTCACTGCACACAACATGGCAGTAAACTAATTTATGCTCGGCGGCTACATGCTGCTACAGTACGCTCCCTTGTAGTTTGACCCTGGAGGTCAGGAGCTGGTCCAGGTCGGAGTATCTGCAGGAGAGGCAGGAAAGATGTCTTCATCCCCGGGTTCACAAATCACAGCTTAGGTTCTGTGCAGCTTAATTGCACTGAGTATCCTTGTTTAAAGGAACCAGGTTTAAATTTAACCCTGTCTGGAGACATACGCTAAATACACGGCGCCAAAATGAAGAGTTAGCAGGAAGTCAGGAACTATTAAAAATAAAAGCCTGAAATTTTGACAGTTATCTCTCATCCTGTCATTGATTCAGAATCTGCAATACTGAACAAGTAGACCAGCGTGAATATGTCCAATCATTGAGCTCACATTAACAAAATAAACATCATGCAGAAGTCAGCTGGTGATGTTTTCTGAACCGTGTGTAGCTGCAAGTACCAATAATTAGAAACAGAACATATAGCACAAGTTTTAATATGAAAAACTTGATCACAAAAGTTTTTTTAAAAAAGCTATTTTTGTTGAACTTTCATCACTGATTGAACAGAAAACAAAGGTGCGCCAGACAGACGAATAAGAACAGACTTATAGCAGTTTTTCAAAATAAAAGTCTGCCGTGTTGTAAATACTGAGGGGAACATATCCGCTCTGATTCCCCACAAAATCTTCACCCATACTACTACAGACACCAAGCTGATTTAGTTTTATTTTTATTTTAAATACAGGCATTTTTTTAGTTGTTACATGCAAGTACACGTGGTTCACAAACACCACTAGTTCACGTCTGCATCACCATTTTTTTTAAATGTTTGCCTGCAGATTGGACTTTTCATTGCAGCTTTACTTTTTTTAAAAATTCAGCTTCCCCACAGTCACAGACTAGTTGATCTACTCGTCTAAACTTGAAGATTTTGACTCAATGGCTCGACTAGAAATACCAGTGAAAATCATGTTTAAGAGTTTCTGACGTGTTTCCATCGAAACGTGGCCTCAAATTTCAATTAGCAAAAAAACAAAAACATGCTGAAAATGGGTCAACGGGCAATTTAAAAAAGTAAAAGAAAAAAAGACATGGGAAAGTATTTGATATATCCACCTAAAACGTCACAAATGCTTCTATAAACCACCCTAACTTATGCTGTAGGAGTCAGAGCTGGTCGAGCCGAGATGTTTGAAGCGTCACCAATCTCTGCTTGTTTTTTCAGAGACCTCTGGAAAAGCCCGACGGACTGGACGTGTCCGACCAGAGCAAAGAACATCCACAACACCTGTGTGAAAAATGCAAAGTCCTCGGCTACTACTGCCGCCGTGTGCAATAACACGCCGCGCCGGCCTTAAACACTCCTCAGAAGTCTGGTCAAGAAGGGACGGTTATACTGTAGTTACTAAAACAAGATGATAATAAGTCGTAGTTGTAATGGAAAGCATCTAACGGTTTACTCTGACACTGTGACTCTCAGCATAAGAGGCAGAACGTTTCTACAATATGTCTCAGTGGAGAACTGATTAGATTTTTTACACTTGCTGGGTTCTTGTTAGTCGCTCAGTTATCATCATGTGAACTTTCATTCTACGTCTTAACGATGAACCGACTGTGAATTAAGAAGCTCCGCGTCCGTCTTCTCTCAACATGTTGGAACTCAACAGATGAAGATTCTCTTTTACATGTTTGTATATTTCAGAAATAACTTAAATGAACTGTTTTTTTTTTTGTTTTCTGTATAAAATATGCAAGACTTTACTAAGGAGCAGTATTAATGTGTATCTGCATTATTCTCTGTATTATCAGTTCTGGTGGGTACATCACTTTGAATATATTTTTAAGCCATACTGTTCTGTTGAATATTATACGTTGTGAAGGAATATATTAGCCAACTAACATGTAGTCTTTATATACCATGTGCTTCAGTTTGTTGTGATTCATTCCCAAGTTTTTAAACTTTACGGTGGAGACATTTTATTTTCTAATAGAGGAAATTACAGCAGTTCTGTTTTGGCACCCGGTGCTAAAAAAAACTCACCAAAGTGCTTTTTTTATGGGTCATGATGTCTCATATGTAACATGAGACAAAAAAATAACAGGATAAACACATGAATGTACCGAGGACAGTGAAGGATGGAGGGTGTGAGGCTGTTTTTCACTGGAGCTGTGACAGAAACACCTTCTGAGCAGTGAAACGCCGTTTAATGTGCCTTAACCTGAGTAACCCATGAGATGGATCCCTTTCTCCTGTAATGTTTTTGCATTAAAATGTATTTAAACATGTTCTCCGGTGCGACTCTGTCTTGACGTCGGTGGCTTTTGAATCCATCCGTGGTTCTGGGGGGTTCTGGGAACGCCGCGTAGCCGACAACTGATAACATCACAGCCTCTCTTCAACATTAGCTGATCCAGATGTTACACATTTTTATCTCCCCACAACAGAAAACATCAGAATCCACGCGTCTCTCAGTGTCGTCGAGCATCTGGGAAACTTTACCGACGGTGAACGAGATCAGATTTGGCTTCAACGCCCTCTGATGCGCTGCTGCTGGCAACCCTGCAGCACGCCGCCATGCGAAACGAACAGAAACATCTCCCCGTTCAGAGGCAGCTACACCAGACGACGTGGGCCATAAGCCGTCTGGACGGGCTTCAGCAGAACAAATACTCGGTGGAATAAGATCATTAGTCAACTGAAGCTGATGAGGAAAGCAGGAGGCGGGAAGAACGACCGAACACTGATGTCATCAAACGTTTTCCCAACACGGACACACACCTTCGACTGCGTTGTTTCAGACAGTTTTTAGTTTTTTTCAAATGCAGAACGTCTCTTTTGGGGCTTTCTCATGTCACGGTTTGACATCTAAGTAAAATAAAAACAGCAGGACGAGCTCACAAATCCAGAAAAACTCTTTATTTTTCAAATAAATGCTCCGTTCCCCGAAATGTACGTCACGTAATGTACGGCTCCCGTTGAAATACGATAGAAGTTAATTCTACTTTACAAGTTCACATTTTATAGCATGACTCAGTGAAGTGCGTCGTTACCTGAATAAAAAACACCGTTTAAACCTACAAAAATAAGAGTGAGGTTCTGAGTTCTGAGCGTCTTCAGCAGAACTCTGCGCCGTCAGAGAGTCTCTTTCTGTTGAAGCTACAGCAGGAGACGAGACCACGACATGGAGTCTACTGGAGCTCCCCGCAATCTGTGATCGTGATCCTCTTGGAGGTCCGCCCGGTCCGTGAACCGAAAGCCTCGACTTTCCTGACCACGTCCATTCCCTCCTTGACGCTGCCAAACACAACATGTCTGCCATCCAGCCTGAATGAAGACGAGGTTTATTTTAATACTGATGATCTCCGCTGGGGTTCAGAGGAGGCGTGTTGTTGAGTTGTGCCACTGGTTTTGCTCTTGTTCTGATATTTTAGGACGTCATTCAAATCTTGGCAATTTTCTGCTTTCGTGCCAAAAACATTTTTAAGAATTTGCTGCTTTGACCAAAACTCTTGTTTCCAGAAAGGTGAGAAAAACAACGAATCTCAATCATAACTAAACCCATAACTTTTAAATAAAATAACCAACAAAAGGCCGTCTACAAGCCAGCAGAACACTAACAGCATGATGCAACTTTAACAGATCTGATATTTAAAAAGAGGAAATTTATTTTAAAAAAGGAAAAAAGAACCCGTGAGCAGAGTCTTTGGTGTAACTGGACTGTAAAGATTGAATTGCTGCACAACCTGCACTGTAATGAAGCACATGTGCAGCAATACTCAACTTAAAATACACCAAACTGGACTGAGAGCAGGTATTACAAAGTTCTACGTGTTGTAAAATACACTGAACTCACATTCTTTCTGTTTCTATGAATTTAAAATGTATAATAGCTTAACTATCATCAGCTCTTGTTCTGATGTTTATGATGCGTGTCGGTACGTACCACTCTGTTTTACTGGTGCAGATGAAGAACTGGGATCCATTGGTGTCGGGTCCAGCGTTGGCCATCGACAAGATACCTGCAGCAGCGTAACAGACTCAGTCAGATCAAAACAACGACTCACAAATCTACACAACAGATTGTTATGATGGAGCTTCAGTTACAAAGTTGGTGCATTCACATGTAGTGGCCAGTTTCAGGAAACCACACAGGTTATTTGAGCCACATTTGCAACGTGCTGCCACCTGCTGGCGACACACGGGCATGACATGACCTTCTAAAAATCTTTTCAGTGACCCTCTTGTAAAGGTTCAGGCGTCCTCACATGTGTTCATAGCCTCCCGTTAAAGAAGGAAAACACAACTTCAGTCACTGAAATAAGATGAAATTGACAAAA